CGGACGGACGGACGGACGGACGGACGGACGGACGGACGGACGGACGGCCAGATGGATGGATGGATGGATGGATGGATGGATGGATGGATGGGTGGGTGGGTGGATGGATTGATGGATTGATTGATGGATGGATGGATGGATGGATGGAATAATGGATGGATGGATGGATAGATAGATAGAGAGCGAGAGAGAGAACAAATGTGAAAGAGAGGGGGAGTGCGAAAAGAGGGAAGAAGGAGACTCTCAGCTAACTATCTTAATTAATTAATGTAGTAAATAGACGGCTTCGATATGGCGGCACCTGTAAACGTATATATGTGTGCGTGCGTGCGGGCGGGCGTGCGTGCGTGCTTGCGTGCGTGCTTGCTTGCGTGCGTGCGTGCTTGCTTGCTTGCGTGCGTGCGTGCGTGGGTGTGTGTTGCGCGCGCGTGCACGCGTGTGCTCCATTACCTTCGATAATATGATGCGTTATCATTAAAATTTTGTATAGCGCGCCTAACGTATCGATTCACGTGTAAATAATTGGCTTGGGTAGTTGCTATGGCAACGTCACAAGCCGAAGCCAGCTGTACGCGTTCATACGAGAAGATTACAAATCACACGACTACATATCATCCCCTTTTCACATAGACGTATGAAACATATGCAGTGACGTGTTTTAGTGAAATGTAATATTTCGTTTCGTCGTAAATTAACGTTAATCAACATGCTAATACAAATTGAGACACGACACGACACGACACGACACGACACGACACGACACGACACGCGATGTGATGGGATGCGATGTGATGGGATGCGATGTGATGTGATGCGATGGTAACTCCGTGGTAACGGGCAGAGACGAAATTGCTCTGGTTCGTCATACTCATCGAATGCTCAATTAGCTGATTTGAACCGTTTCCCTGGCTAGTTTCCGCATCTCGCATAACATCTACAGGTCGTCAATTTAGATAGAGGTATTGGTTCGCGCTTGCTGTCGTCACATACATCCGGATCTCTTCAATCAATCTGGTGTTCTGTTTGTGTACCTGCGCATAAATAACTTGCGTCCGCAGACAGTTTGGCAGTCAATCTTGTAAGTGACTGTGTGCTCTAGTCGGGAATGTACGGTTATATCCGTCCTTTTAATTACGAACGTTGTACCACTATAAAAGTCATCATGCCAGAAGACAAAGTTTAATGAGATAATATATCTGGCGATCGACATAGTAAAATATTTACATATTTACATATACATATTTACATACACACATATATACATACACACACACACATATACACATATACACATATACACATATTTACATATATACATATTTATATTTACATATTTACTTAAATAATGACCGAGCCGATGGTGCAGAAGTGGTCATCGAAATCACCCCTAGAGTAGTCGTGGTGTGGCAATAAATTTTCAAGACGTCCTCCTTTACTCCAAAATAAATTCTTTACTATTATATATGACATCAAAAATCACACACAAGAAAAGGGTAAAAAATAACAAAAATTAGAAGAGGAAGAGGAAGGAGAAGGAAAGAAGAAGATGGCTAGATGAAGCTGAGGATGTAGAGGAAGAGGATGAGGAAGGAGGCAAGGTGAAGGAAGAGAAGAATGAGGGAGGAGGAGGAGATGTAGGAGGAGGGGGAAGGGGGAGGGGAGGAGGAGGAAGGGGAGGAGGAGGAGGATAAGGAGGAAGACGTGTCAACCTGAAATGAACAAAAATTATCAAGTCAGACAAATCTTAAGGAGTTTACTAATATCCAATACGTTTTCTCATAAAAAATTCATAAACAAATTAGGACCTCATTACTTTAAAAATAATACACTATCTGCAGTTTATTGGGGCGTATGTTGAGCTCGCATACATATATAGCTACATGTATCGCTACATATAGTAATGAATTGGTGCGTGGTACTGCCTGCACACGCGACATTATATACTTAACCCAACCCGGATACGCTCAGTCAATACCATTGCCTGCTGCTCTGTTATCTCTCTATTTTATGCTATTGACTTGTGTTAATTGCCTCGCACTCATATTATGGAATGTGGTAACTCTGGATCACTCAGATGTACGGCCACCAACAACCTGGATTAAGTTTAGTTGGTCGGAAACTCGTTTTCCGGCGGCCAGAATTTGATTGGCTTCCTGTTTCAAAATCTAGCATCGGTTTGGAGTAAACCGGTGCTTTTGGTTAGCAAGGGTTGCATGTCTGTGATAGCTGCTGATGCCAGCAATGATCCAACGCAAGGTGCAGAGTAGGGAGCCACTAGTGTACACACACACACACACACACACACACACACACACACACACACACACACACACACACACACACACAC